GCGGGCCTGTGCGAGGTGTCGTCTGTTGGTTCCCATTGAGCCCTGAGCAGGCAGCGGGCGCTGGGCTACCCTGGCCTGCTATCGCTGTCCTCACCCCACCGCCTCCTCCCCGGTGACCCCGGCTCCGCGGGGGGCGGGGCCAGTCGGACAGGTGCCGTGAACTTGCAGAGGCGCTGGGAACCCTGCACGGGCGGGTGTTTCCTGCACTGCCTTCGCGGAAGCAGTTAGACTGGAGGCGCTGAGGTGCACGGATGACAGTTACATTCAGGGGCGCCGAGACCACTGACCAGCTGTCCGGCCTCCTCGCCATGTGTCTGTAGGAGTGGAATACAATCGAGGACGTACAATCTTAGGGGAAAAGAAAACTTTTTTGTGTTACTTTCTACCATTTTGGTTTTATTTGCTGCTGTAAAACTTGATTGCTTGGTACAGGATTTTAATTGTTTGTTTTATGTGGCTGTTTAAGTCATACACATCAGCTAGATCCAGAGGGATTCTAGCCCTGTGTTAGACACGGTGATGTGGTGTCGCATATGGAAATACATGCACAACTTAAAGACATTTGGATTCATACTGTTTAGAAACATTTCAAATCAAACAAGAAATGTGAGGCTGCCCGGCTGGTGTGGCTCAGCGGTTGAGCGTCTACCTCTGAACCAAGAGGTCAGGGTTGGATTCCCGGTCAGGGCACATGCCCGGGTTGTGAGCTCGATTCCCTGTGGGGGGCGTGCAGGAGGCAGCCGATGGATGATGTTCCTCTCTCATCATGGATGTTTCTATCTCTCTATTCCTCTCTCTTCTACTCTCTCTAAAAAATCATTAAAATATTTTTTAAAAAAAGAGAGAGGAATGTGAGGCTGCCAGTATCCAGTCTTTGTAGAAACAGTGGAAGCTATTGAAGATTTTTGAGGGGGTAGTTACCTGCTAGAGGTTGTTCTAGAATGTCTGTGGATAATTCTTTGTGGCTGCTCGGCTGTAGAGTTTTTATTATTTCTGATATTTCTGTTTCAGCTACTTTCTACATTGCCTGGTGATGTTCAGCCCGGGCCTGATTTTTATGGACTGCCATGGAAGCCTGTACTTATCACTGCCTTCTTGGGAATTCTTTCATTTGTCATTTTCTTCTGGAGAACCATCCTTGCTGTGAGTAAATTAGATTAACTTATCTCTTGCCTCATAGGTACAAGGAATATTTTATAGTCACTGGCCCTTTTGTTTCTTTTTCACTTCCTACCATGAACACAAATCAATGCATGTAATCTACACTACCCTTGTAAAGTAACCCAGTGTAGTCTTCATTGGTGTTGGCAGTATTTTTTATTTTTTATTAATTTCAGAGAGGAAGGGAGAGGGAGAGAGAGAGATAGAAACATGGATAATGACAGAGAATCATTGATTGGCTGCCTCCTGCACACTCCCTACTGGGGATTGAGCCCGAAACCCGGGCATGTGCCCTTGGCCGGAATCGAACCCGGGACCTTTCAGTTCGCAGGCCAACGCTCTATCCACTGAACCAAACGGGCTAGGGCTTAGCTGTCCTTTTGTTCATGCATTTTCCTGCACCAGTCTCCTTTCCCTTTCAGGGTTATGACCACTATTCTCAGGGGGTTGGGAAAATCTGAATGATCTAGCTTATTTATTAGACTTCTAAATTCAGCCAATGATCACCTTTAATAGGATTCCCAAGGTGTTTTCTGGTGAGAGGAAGAGGCATGTCTTAGTACAAAGACAATGCCTTTAATTTTGTCTTTTTGAACAGTCATTGTTTCTAGACCTCATTCTGGCAATTTGGGGTTGTCAAGTTATTTCGGGTAAATGAAGCATTAGTGTATTTAATATGAAAATAATATCCATTTTCATTTTTTTAAAATATATATTTTATTGATTTTCTACAGAGAGGAAGGGAGAAGAATAGAGAGCTAGAAACATCGACTTATTTCTGATATTTCTGTTTCAGCTGCTTTCTACACTGCCTGGTGATGTTCAGCCCGGGCCTGATTTTTATGGACTGCCATGGAAGCCTGTACTTATCACTGCCTTCTTGGGAATTCTTTCATTTGTCATTTTCTTCTGGAGAACCATCCTTGCTGTGAGTAAATTAGATTAACTTATCTCTTGCCTCATAGGTACAAGGAATATTTTATAGTCACTGGCCCTTTTGTTTCTTTTTCACTTCCTACCATGAACACAAATCAATGCATGTACTCTACACTACCCTTGTAAAGTAACCCAGTGTAGTCTTCATTGGTGTTGGCAGTATTTTTTATTTTTTATTAATTTCAGAGAGGAAGGGAGAGGGAGAGAGAGAGATAGAAACATGGATAATGACAGAGAATCATTGATTGGCTGCCTCCTGCACACTCCCTACTGGGGATTGAGCCCGAAACCCGGGCATGTGCCCTTGGCCGGAATCGAACCCGGGACCTTTCAGTTCGCAGGCCAACGCTCTATCCACTGAACCAAACGGGCTAGGGCTTAGCTGTCCTTTTGTTCATGCATTTTCCTGCACCAGTCTCCTTTCCCTTTCAGGGTTATGACCACTATTCTCAGGGGGTTGGGAAAATCTGAATGATCTAGCTTATTTATTAGACTTCTAAATTCAGCCAATGATCACCTTTAATAGGATTCCCAAGGTGTTTTCTGGTGAGAGGAAGAGGCATGTCTTAGTACAAAGACAATGCCTTTAATTTTGTCTTTTTGAACAGTCATTGTTTCTAGACCTCATTCTGGCAATTTGGGGTTGTCAAGTTATTTCGGGTAAATGAAGCATTAGTATATTTAATATGAAAATATTATCCATTTTCATTTTTTAAAGTTAGGTGCTTAATTAATAAGATTGGTGCTCATTCCATAGATATGTAAATGTACCTTTTGTTGCAAAATGAGGTGTTTGCCTTATTGCTTTTATCTATCAAACTATTTATGAAGTATCACTATCAATTACATTTGAAATGCTTTGTAACCTTTTTCTAACCCTATGGCTCATTAGGCTGAACCATCTGTTACTAAATTTCCTTGTAGTTACGATTTGACTATTATATTAGAACTGTATTATTTCTAATAATGAAATCAAATTTAATTTTATTTCTTTCTCTTTTAGGTAAAGAGTCATGTGTACCAAGGTAAATATTTAGGCTGGTTTTGTTATTGGTACTGTGTCCTCATTATTGGTGTTTGATATGAGTTTTGCAAGCTAGAAGTAGATATAGTGACATCTGATATACGACTGACTTATTAACTCCTGAAGGTTTCACTAATGCTGGGTTGTGGTTTGGGTGATAGAGTAGATAGATGGTGATGCTACCCACTGAGATAGGGGATGAGGTGGAACACACTGGTAGTAGGAAGAAGATGATTGGTTTAATTTGGGGAAGATTGACTTTAAATGTTGATGGAATGCAAATGTATTACATGTGAACAGTGTTCCTGGGCTAATGGTATAATCAATACAGTATATAAGTATATTTAAGTAGATAATTTGAGGAATAAGAGATGCAAATCAATATGCTATACTTTCGTCTGTTCCTCTTTGCAAGTTATGTATAGTTGAAATGACCACAGTTTCTGCGAAGAAAGGGGTTTCCTGAAAGGAAGGATATAGAGCTAAAATATTTTACTGTATTTCCTGGCTCTGAAATAAATTTAGTTGGAAACTCATTGAAGTAAAGGTTCTTAGTATATTTTTCTTAAATTTTAATATTTTTACACCTTTATTTCTCTTAACTACTGATTGCTTTTTAAAGGCTGATAGTTATGCTAAGAAGTTATTTTCCTTCATGGTGCAGGATAAGATGTCTTTGTTGCTAATAGATTGGGTAATTCAGTTTTATTTAGAAGTCATAATTCCATTATGGATTCGCCCTCCCCCCGCTTTCTTTTAGTCACTGAACAACAAATTTCTGAGAAGCTGAAGATGCTCAAAAAAGAAAACGCAGATCTTGTACAAAAATTGTCAAATTATGAGCAGAAGGTATAATTCTTTCAGTTTTTTCCCCCATGGTTCCAGCTTCATTTCCTCCTCCTGTCTTATAGTTATTATGCTATTTTTAAATCATATTTTTAAATTCCATTATTCTCTACAAACCATTCAAATTTGAAGCAACCATGATGTGTGTAAAGTACTACTCTTTTTTCTAAAGGGGCCACCTGGTGGAGATAAGTTTGATAGCACTCTAATTCATATTTCTATATTCTGAATGCTTTATCTAAATAGGTCAAGGAATCAAAGAAGCATGTTCAAGAAACCAAGAAACAAAATATGATTCTCTCTGATGAAGCAACTAAATTTAAGGTAAAAATCCCTGATCATTTTGAGGTTACATTCAAAGAACAAAAGAAAAATAACAAGTAATTATTATTAATCTTCATATCGTTTTCTATAGCATAGAATCAAGGAACTTGAAGAAACTAAGGAAAATCTGAACGATACAGCAAAAAATCTGCGTCTCCTTTTAGAATCTGAGAGAGAACAGAATGCCAAGAATGAGGACTTGGTAAGAGTTTCGCTCTAAGTGTCACCAGCACTTGGATTTCAAGCTATTTTATTTTTCAAGCTATTTTATTGATTGGGTGAGTTGAACTCTGCATTTTTCCATGTTGTAACTAGAGTAAGATTGGAAGCCAGGGGAGTTGAACCTACATCTGTTCATTTCTTGGGAACTTTAAATGCTAATACCATACGTTCTTATTCTTACGGTCCTAGGAAGTATTTTTGTCCTCGGCCCAGGGTACTTTTTATATGGCTTGGCTCAACCCCCAAAACATGTTGAGCAACTAAGAAACTAGCCCAGTTGATCAGTGCTAGTGCTTTGTTTTGTTTGCGTGGTTCTTTTTAAAAATAGACTTCTAATATTAGGACAGTTTTAGAGTTCAAGTTCAACGTAGTAGAGAGAGGGTTCCCATATATCACACGTCCAGTTACACTTGATCACCTGGCTGAGGCTGCTCCCCGGTACAGTCACCCCTCTGCCACCTTGGCCTCCTGTGTCCTGGAAGTCACAGCCCACAGCTAAAGGGGGAAGAGGCGCTCCACCACCTGGGCAGGCAGCGTCTGTCATAATTTATCGGGAAGTCTCCTCTAGGTGAGGTTTGTCTATTCTCTGGTCCAGCCATTTTTAGTTCAGGCCAGAGAATTTTTAAAGTGACCTCGGGATCTTTTTCTTTCTTATTAGGAAAAACCATTGATTTAAACTGGTGTACTTGAAAGTTTTTTCAATTTCTTTGCTTTCACCTTTTTGTCTGGTCCTCTGCCACATTATCTCATAGACAGGAAGGTGGTGGGTGGCACGGAATACTAATGCCTCCAATTATTTTCTTGTTTCCTCATCTCTTTACATTCTTGGCTTTTCTTGGAGGCTAAGGCTGGGTCACCTGCTTTTACCTGCTATGCATAGGGGATGGCCCTTCTTTTTTAGCTTATATCCCAGTGTTCCTACTGAAATCCTGATATATTTTTTGTGTTCTTTTCCACATGGCAGATATCAGAAAACAAGATATCTTTAGAGAAGTTAAAGGATGTTATTGCAATGAATGCCTCAGAACTTTCAGAGGTAAAGCTGCCTACAATTCCTGCAAGATATTAATACAATGTCTTAGTTTTATTGAGGAGCAAACTCCTATTTGTGCTAGAATATGCAACTGAAAACTACCTGATATCTAATTGGGAAAGTGAAACTTTGTGGGGTTTTTTTCCCTTTGGAATCAATTCATTAATAGGAGTGTTTCGCATTAGGTTCAGATTGCCCTTAACGAAGCTAAACTTAGTGAAGAGAAGGTGAAGTCCGAATGCCATCGGGTTCAAGAGGAAAATGCTAAGCTTAAGAAGAAGAGAGACCAGGTAAAGAAAAGTTAACGCGTAGATTATGTAAACTAGAGAACCCAATACCATTGCCTCTTGAATATCTTTTCTCAGATCTGTTTTTAAGGAAATGAAATATGTATGCAGGATTCTATTCTGAGATATGCAGAGTTTAAACTGTGCTCCCCAAATTGAGTACATGTGTTCGTCCTCCATCTGTTCTGGATTTTCTGTTCTTCTGTACAGTTTCTTAGAGCTAGCAGAGTGCTGAGTCTTTGTCTTCAAACACCAACCAGTTATTAACCTGAATGGCCTCAAGGGGGCGGTGGATTTGCTTCTCAAACTAAAGAATTAGTCTAGCAGTTCCTGCTTCACTGACCAAGGGAAGATGACATGGTCTGGGTCTGGGAGACTGAGATTGTTCCCTTCTATTCCTACTGGGTGTTAGTTCTTTGAATTGGCTGCCATTTTCTGAAGGATACAGTAAACTGCATCAGCTTTTTCCCAGCTCTTCTCAGCCCACTGCAGTTCTGAGGGTTGGAGCCACTCTCCCTTCGCCCTTAACCGAGGCCTTAGCCCATGGGGATGGGCAAAGAGGAGCCTGGCTCCAGAATAACCTGTCTCAGTCACGTGGTCCTGATGTCTCCAGCACAAAGCCCTAACTTTCGGAAATTCGTGTGCTTTAACTTTTCAGTTGCAGCAGGAAATCAAAGACTTGAATAAATCCCACGCTGAACTCAGTGAGCAAATCAAATCATTTGAGAAGTCTCAGAAAGATTTGGAAGTAACTCTTACTCAAAAAGATGATAATATCAATGTAAGTTCATTCTCTCGAGCACATGTTTAGTTCTCATGGATTCCCACACAGCCAGGAGGTTCTTTCTAATATTTTGCTTCTTTTCTAGGCTTTGACGAATTGTATCACACAGTTGAATCGGTTAGACTGTGAATCTGAATCTGAGCATCAAAATAAAACAGGAAATGAATCAGATGAACTAGCAAACGGGGAAGTGGGAGGTAAGATGGGTTTCGGGGAGGCTGGTCCTCTCTCTGCCTTCCTGTCTTTAATCAAGTAACCGATGCGCCTTCAGAGTTGTGGGCGCACATCGCTGGGTCTGTGTGTGCGTCTGTGTGCGCTGGGCAGAGGTGGGTGGCTGGGCTGCGGTGTGACCGTGGGCGTGCGGTGAGCACTGGTCTTGCTTTTCCATCCCAGTAGAACTAGACATGTGCACGGGTGCTGGGCACTGAGCACTGGTCAGGAGGAGAAACTGGTTTCCCACCTTCACGGAGATGACACTGGGATTTAATGCGCATCATCTCTCTAGCTCCGTGGTTTGAAGGCCCCACAACCAACTTTGAGAGTGAGGTGGGAGCCATGAACTGACTAGGTCAGGAGAGCAAGGCTGAAGCGTAGCCGTGTTTCCTGATGAGATGTTTCTGGATGCTGCTTCCCGAGTTGGATGTTGCTCGCACAGTGGGTGTTTTCAACCCCACCCGGTAGCAGATTCAAGGGGAGAAGAGAGGAATGAGTCTTTCTAATGAAGATACTTGACCAGGTGGAGGTAGATGTCAGAGGGAAGAGAGAGCTTTGCCTCGCATGTACCTCCTTGCTCACAAATGGCATGGGTAACATTTTTATTGCACAAACTCTCTAAAAGTCAAGTAGCCTAATCAGTTCTGTTGGTTCATTTGCTTTGACTTTGACTGTTTAAACATAGTCATTTTTCATTTGGGGGAAATCGAGAAATAGAGTTAAAAAGCACGGGAGTAAGAAGTAATGAAACCTCTTTGTTTCCTAGGTGACCGAAGTGAGAAGATGAAAAATCAGATTAAGCAGATGATGGACATTTCTCGGGTACCGTCCTTTGTGTAGAACAGAGTGGCGTCCATGCCTGTGAGTCCTTACTGTGCCTCCTTTTAAGAACACCTCTCTCTGCTGCACTTTCTAGACACAGACGGAAATATCCGTTGTTGAAGAGGATCTAAAACTTCTACAGTGTAAGCTGAGAGCCTCGATGTCCACAAAATGTAACCTGGAAGGTAGGTTGCCAGATATTGGAAAGACAAAGAATTGCTTTGGATGCCTGGCTGGCGTGACTCAGTGGTTGAGCAGTGACCTATGAACCAGGAGGTCACAGTTTGATTCCTGGTCAAGGCACATGCAGACTAGATCCCCAGTAGGGGGCGTGCAGGAGGCAGCCAATCAGTGATTCTCTTTCATCATTGATGTTTCTATCTCTCTCTCCCTCTCCCTTCATCTCTGCAATCAATAAAAATAAATTAAAAAGCAAAAAAAGAAAAGAAACATCCATTATGAGAATCACTGATTGGCTGCCTCCTGCACGCCTCCCACTGGGGTTTGAGCCCATGACCTTCTGGTTCATAGGTCAGTGCTCAACCACTGAGCCACACCAGCCAGGCGCCCCTCCTCTTTCTTTAATGGGGTGATAGCCCACTCTGCTTAGGGCCAGGACCAGCTCCATCACTTGCAGGGCCCAGGGCAAAGTGAAAACATGGGACCCCTTGTTTAAAAAAATGTTAAATGCC